TAAACTAACAACTTGATTAAAGAAAAAAAACACGAATTAAAAAAACTCAAAACTATTTTTAAAAGTGAAACTTAAGGCTCTTTCTTAAAACACAATAACTGGAGAGAGACATACTGGAACAGTAACAGACTGTGCCCCCTGTCTGTCAAGTGACAAATGACATTAATATTATCTTAAATCTGAATAATTTAGAGAGATTCTGAAAATGCTTATGGGTTTTAGCTTCAGAAGCTCTCCTAAAACGTTTGGAAATCGTTAATGTTCCTAAACTCCTTTAGCACCTTTTAAAACTTTCTCCATTTTTAAGCAATCTCTGTATTATTAGAGCCCGACTACTTTAATGCTGCAAACTGATTTACGTGTCTAGAGTGCCCATCTGCATATTATTTCTCTTTATTTCCTAATTCACGCAAATGCTTTTAGTTTTCAATAAAAATGGTGGGAATATCTGTTGCCACCTGCTCCACCAAAAGACAAGAAGTGAGGAATGAAGTCACAGGAGTCAGGGGCTTGCTTTGGTCAGAAGCAGGAATAAGGACATGGATGGAAGCTGGGAATGCCCTTCTGTTGAGTGACTCCCCATAATAAAAAGGTGGCACATGTTGCATTTCCCAGTGCTAACAGGATTGAGTTTTGGTATTTAATTTCCTTCAGATTCTCTTCAGATAGTGTGACTAATAGGTTTTCTATATTCATGATCCTTTTTAATGCAGTTTCCTTAAGATTAGTTTCTGTTGCTGGTTTGGACGTAAACAGTTTATGGAGAGCTGTTTATCTAAGCATGTCTTGTTATTAAGTCTCTTTATTAACATGTGCCATGCAACTCAGATGTGCTGATTTAATGGTTAAAAGTATGCTAATTCCCACAGCACTGTCATGAGCAAATGTCTGTAAACAAATATCTGCAATGAATACTATAAATCCATTTTTAAATGAATGCATTCCAAGTAAGAAGAAACAGTCAACTGAATTAAGGTGAAAAGTCACTTCTGAAGTAACTGTTTGAAATTCAAAACTTGCACTATACCTTTTTGCGGTCTAGAAAAAGCATTGAAAAGCAGCTCAGCAGAGATGGAGGGAAGGGTAGGAGGGGAAGAGTATGACTATATTTGTGGCCACTATAATCTAGCTGCAAGTAAAACTTTTCACTAGATTAAATTAATTCAGAAGCCTAGGTAAAGCATCGCTGGCTCCAGAGTATGCTATATTTATGGAGATATCTGGTCTCTATTCTCAATGTGTAGATAAATTAGTGGCTAATATTTATAAAGGCCTAAGATGTTAAGCACTTTGTAAATACAATGATACTTGTTCTAAATGTCCTCTTACATGTGACAAAAATTAGTGGAGTTTCTTGTACAAAATATTTTTAGAGCACTTGAGAGCAGTACTTAAGACTAGCATTCCTAGTTCTTCTGCTATGTGGGAATATCTCCTGCAACTTGTTTTACTGAGACATTCATGAAGGTTGGGAACCACAGCAGTGCAAATGGCTGCTTTAGATACAATTCACAAAGCAATTTTAAGGAAGACTATGGAGTAATGGAGGAGAACTGAACATTATAATAATGGGAAGACAGAAGAAAGGACCAATACTGAGTTCTTTAAACTGAGAGCTTTCAGCTTCTATAGAATACATTTAAATAATTGATTTAGAAATAAAAGTATTAATATTTAAAAAAATAAGACCATCTTTTAATATATGTTTAGGAAGTGAAGCATTAGATAGTCACAATCCATAACAGAATCAAACGTTAGTTTTTCTAGACAAGCTTCATATTTGGGACAGATATTTGTTGGGTTTAGTTCTGAACTTTACTCAGAGGGAGAGGTAGTGATTTGTCATATGTGACATACACACAAAAGCAGCTGAGTATTCTTACTGCTTTAAGGTTTTTTCTCATTTAAGCCCAATTTCAAATCCTGTCTATTTTTAAGTTACTGTCTACAAATACTTAATAGCCTTATTTTTATGGTTCTGTTGTCAGCACAATGCTGACTCACAGACTAGTCACTGTGCCTGATGTTCATAATAAGTAAACAATGTCCATAGTAATAAATGTTTGCAGAGACAAGACTCTTGTATTATAAACTGGTTCGGATTTGCAGTACATATTCCGTAAGAACAGATCAGTGAAACTATTTTTTTTTTTTGGTGAATAATTCTAGTTGTTATCAGAAGACCCCTAGAGTCAAGAAAAACAAGTAGTTTCTTACAGTAGTAGGAAAGAAGGAATTAAATTTTATCATTGCATACCTGATTATAAGCTTGCCAGTAAAGGGTCCTGCTAAGGTCTCCAGGAAAACTGAGGGACAATTATGCTTCCTGTGCTTCCTCTGTCAGCTTTCCAGTTCATCATGTAAAAGATATTTGTGTATCTGTGCACTGTCAGTCTTGCCCAACACAACCAGTCATTGTTTCTGCCTTAATGGTAGTATAGTCAAGATGTTCCAACTATTTGTCTTACCTCAGGTTTCCTACAATGCCAAGCATAAGGTATAAGGCATGGGGGGAATTGCTTCACCTGAAGCATGTATCTTCTGTACAAAGTTCAAATCTCAACATGGCTCTGAGGCAAGCATGGCAGCTTTATGGACTTTTAGAGGTTCATACCACTCTGTCTCCAAAATTTTTGTAATTAATAAAAGGTAAAGCTTTAGGATAGGAGCATAGGAGTTACAACTTCTCCACTGATATTGGCACAAACTTTCAAAACATTTCCAGGACAAATAAGCATTTGGAGAACCTGAAAATCTATTCTTCATGGAAGGCTAAGACCTGCAGAGACACTGGAAAAATCAATTGATCTGAAATTGAGAAGCAAATCATGATTCCCAAATAAAAAGGTGCAGGTAGCCTAGACCAATACTGCCACGTAAAATAATGCCAACAAGATAGTTGTGTGGTCCTTTGTTTTGTAGTGGGTCCTCAGAGGATTCTGATATTCCTAAAAAGCAACATAAGTTTTCTTAGATAGTTGTAACATTCAGTGTGTCATGATCGGTGACTGACAAATGTTGATCAAAAGTTAGCTCTTAATGCATCTCCTGAGTTTACTAAGCACTGAGAAGCATACCAGCTTTTGGAAGTGTGTCTGCAATGCCCACTGTGATTCAGCAATTAGAAATTCATTGCTTTTTTTTTTGTTTGCTTTGGTTTTGTTCTTTTTCTGGCAACATTGATTTTTTTCATCCAATTTGGGACATGCTGATTAAATAATGTCCTCTGAAAAAAATATTTCCTGTCTTAAATTCTTAAAAATAGTTGCCCCATCCTCTACATAACCAAGATCTTGCCAGTCCGCTTTCAGTATGGAGACAGTTTGAGTCTGTTACTTGTTTGAAGCAACTTCAGCTGCCATTTTGCACGTCCAAAGTGTCTTTATTGAGGACTTCAAGTGTATTTTAGAATGAGGTGTTCTCAGGTTCTGACTGTAGCTCAGACGGGAGATAATGAGTTAAATCCTGATTCCAGAGAAACATAAAATGGTGAGAACTGAGATTTGCTGTCTCTCCAACAGCTCCCACAGTCATATGGGAGCTGTTTCAGTCTTCACAATGTTGAAAGGAAAGACAGAGAGCAGGCAAGAAATAAAGATTTTCTAGCCTAGTTTTGGCTGCTTTGATTTCCGGTGCCGAACCTGCAGTTCTTTAATTGCTGAAAATACTGAAAACATGAAAAGAAAAACTTGAATACCACAAGCCAAAACAGCATATGGTAAGGCAGATGTAAAATACCTCTTGCAGGTGTGAGAGGGGGGTTCAGGTTCTCTTCAACAAGGAAGATCTAACCTAAGTCATCAAGTGCTAGCTGCCTTTTCCACTAAGTGTCCTGTCCTTTGACCAGTTAAGGTGACTCACTCAAATTGCTGCCTTCTTCTCTAGTGTTTTATTTCTTTTGCTTTTTCACATGTCATATCTTACTTTAATATATCATTCAATGAAATGTTTGTTTGCTTGTTTGTTTTTCCTTTCCACAAATAGTCTAAATAAGTACATTGTGAGAGAAATAAAACTGAAGTTATTTTTAATTTTTTTGAGCTTGGCAGCTTTTATGTGCACCACTCTTTTTATTAGCTTGCAATTACACTTTCAGTGAAGTAGAAATAAGAGCAACTGGATGGGACAAATGGATCATTTTGACCTATATATAGCTTCCATATATTAAAAACTTCACAGAAGGAAAGCAGGGCTGACAAATTATCAGGAAAAACAATTATGGCATATAAAAGACTTAGAATTTTTTCCTTGTTTTTTTTATCGTCTGAAGTTAGTGAAGGCTTGATAGGGGTCTGTAATTGCTTCATTTGTTAAAAGCTGTTGTAAATGAATCCAGCTTTGAGAAAAAAAGTCTTGTCAATCTCTTCTTTTATGTTCCCTCCCTTTGCTTCCATTACCCACTTCAAGGCTTTTACTCTCTCCACTAGGCAAAGTGCCCAGAAACCAAGGGAGTTAAGCAGGGCTGCTTAGTTCTGCTTCTAGGCTAGTGTCAATTGCAGCTCTGGGAATCAGCTGTTTCTGCTGCCAGTCTTCTGTAATGGCTATGTTCAAAGTGGCTTATGTCATCATGTCATCAACTTCATGTCAGAGAGACATGCTTCAAAACAGGTACCCAGACTGAGCATACTGGTTTGCAGTGACAAGCAAAGAAGCAAAAGAATAATGTCTTAATATCTTTCTGTTTCCTTTTCTGCCTTTCCATATGTATCTTAACTTTGACAGGATTGTATACTGCTGTGTAAAATATCAGCTGTTAGCAAATTACATCTTTGTGACTCACAGTGGGAACCTTGTTATGTATCAAAAGAAACATAACATTATGAAAGAAATGAAATACAGTGTTACTCTGGGTGTCTCCATAATACAGAATTTTTCTTAGGGTGTTTTTAAAAGTTTCTATGATTTTAAAAACTTGAAAGTAATATTCTTATGTAGCTTTCTGTTACTTTGGATTATACATACTACAATGAGTATATATTTATTGTTTTGTTTCTTCATAGGTATTTCATAGATCATAACACAGAAGAAGATAGGTATTTCACCATTGATGCTAGTACTGGGACCATTAAGACTGCCAAGGTCTTTGACAGAGAGGACACACCTTGGTACAACATCACAGTGGCTGCTTCTGAGATAGGTAAATAATAAATTTGTCACATAGTATTAAAAAAAATTAGAAAGGAAAATAGTAATATTCAGATTTTTTAAAAAAACTGTCTTGAGATGTTATGTTCTTTTTAACACCATTGGTTTTTTAGCCAGTTTGGATAAAGGAGGGTTTTCTCTGTGTATGTAAATACCCTAAATCCACAGAACAGATAAACAAAACACCACATGCCTATGTGATTACAACTGTATAAATTTACCATGTTTTTCTGTATGTGATAGAAGACTGGCAGTTTACCGAGGAACAGTTCCAAGCATTTAGTGTCCTAAAACCAACAGCTTGTCCTGTTTGTGTTTCATATTTCGTATATCTTAGAAGATAACACCATATAGTACTGTCTGAGAAATTCATCCTTCCTTCTTGTATCTACTATTAATCTGTTTTAGCGAATTGCATGTTAAATATGCCAATATTAATTTATATCTGATGGGTGCCTAGTAGCTGCTGATTATCAGGGTGTGCCTCTGGCCTTTTAATAGGCAAACTGCCCAGTAAAGATACCATAAATGCTTGCCCATGCATTTGAAAGGCCGCAAAGTCTGATGGATTTTCATTGCCTCGGATAAGCCCTGGAACAGTCAAGAAATGTCTGACTGAGTAGTCCCAGATAAATATTTTTACATGAGGCAAGGACAGTTTGAAGAACATTTCAGTTAACCTTTTTATTACAGGGTCTTTATTTTGTCACAGTCGAAGTTTTAAAGTTAAATAACAAAACAAATTTTAAAAAAATCCCAACCTGGATCAATAGATCCAGTCCTGCTAAGTACTCTTCATGACACTGTCTTTCAAGGGCAGTGGTTTTGATCAAAACTGTGATCTACTTTTATGTATATTCCTTTCCTTTTGCTTTTTTTCCTTTTTTTTTGGTGTATTCCGTCATTGCCAGATGACACAGTACAGGTTTTACCTCTAACAGGTGCCACTGACATTGTTGAGCCCCCATTACTTTCATCTGGTTTATCTCTGGGTTAAAATGGAATCTGTTCTGCCACTACATCATTAGCACATACTACAGAATTAACAGCACATACATCTTTTGTAAGGACAACAAATTGTTTCTTATTATTTTACCTGCTTTTGGAACTAAATTGGCATTTTGAACTAAGTAAATTTCTATTGTAAATAGTAGAATCTAGAGGTTTATGCTTAGCCCTTTAAAAAAGGTAACCACTGGCACTTCAGTGTGCTTGACATATATATGTTTTCCTATATAATGTGTGATTTCAGTGAAATAAAATACAATTTAAGCCTAATCATTAGCAAGTGCGTAGTAGGTGTTAATTTGAATTAAGATTTAAAAGCGACGTTGGGACAGACTGAAAAAAGGAGTAGTCACTAGTCTTTTTGGGAAGCCATCCAAAGGTACTTACTTTGCACAAATAAATCGCAATAGCATTAAAATTACATGTAGCTTTCTACACATTAGTTATTTCACATAGTCAAATGAGTGGTAGTACATGTACCATGCTGAGAGAATAGTGTGGAGAATGGAGAAGGATTATATTTATAACTAAAAGAAAATAGAAGGAATAATGAGGATGAAATGCCTTTTTTTTTTTTTTTTTTTAAGACAGCCTGCTTAGAATTTTACATTCCAGGTGCAACTTGTTACAGGAAAACAGAGATACTTCCCCCCCCACCGCCTTGCATTGCCTTTCTTACTGTTAAGGTTGGGGTTGGAAAGATAAGTAAATTTATAATGTCAATTTGAAAAACATTTCAGTTATGAATTATTGGGATGTCAAGGGCAACAAGAAAAGCTTCTATAGCTACGTTGGTGATAAAAGGAAGACTAGGGAAAATGTAGGCCCTCTCCGGAAGGAAAGGGGAGACCTGATTACCCGAGATATTGAGAAGTGTGACGTACTCAGCAACTTTTTTTTTCCTCAGTCTTCACTGGCAAGTGCTCTAGCTACACTGCCAAAGTCACAAAAGGCAAAGGCAGGGACTAGGAAAACGAAGAACCAGGAGAAGATCAGGTTCAAGACAACCTAAGGAACCGGAAAGTGCACAAGTCCATAGAACCTGATGAGATGCATCTGCGGGTCTGGAGGGAAATGGCAGATGAATTTGCTAAGCCACTGTCCATCATATTTAAGCAGTCATGATAGTCTGGCAAAGTTCCCACTGACTGGAAAAGGGGAAACATAACCCCCATTTTTAAAAAGGGAAACAAAAAAGATCTGGGGAACTACAGGCCAGCCAGTCTCACCTCTGTGCCCAGCAAAATCATGGAGCATATCCTCCTGGAAACTATGCTGAGGCACATGGAAAATAAGGAGGTGATTGGTGACAGCCAACGTGACTTCACTAGGGGCAAATTGTGACTGACAAATCTGGTGGCCTACAATGAGGTTACAGAGTAGGTGAATAAGGGAAGAGCAACTGATGTCATCTACCTGGACTTGTGCAAAGCATTCGACATCCTTATCTCTAAATAGGAGAGGATAGACCACTCGGTGGATCAGGAGTTGGCTGGATGGTGACTCTGAAAGAATCACGGTCAACAGCTTGATGTCCATGTGGAGACCAGTGACAAGTGGCATTCCTCAGGGTCGGTATTGGGACCAGCACTATTTAACATCTTTGTCAGCAACGTGGATAGCGGGATTGAGTGCACCCTCAGCAAGTTTGCTGATAAAACCATGCTGGAGGGAAGGGAGGCCATCCAGAGGGACCTTGACAGGCTGGAGAAGTGGGCCTGTGCTAACCTCATGAAGTTCAACAAGGCCAAGTACAAGGTTCTGCACCTGGGTTGAGGCAATCTCAAGCACAGATACAGGCTGGGTGATGAGTGGATTGAGAGCAGCCCTGCTGAGAAGGACTTGGGGGTGTTGGTGATGAAAAACTGAATATAAGCCAGCAACATGCGCTTACATCCCAGAAAGCCAACCGCATCCTGGGCTGCATCAAGAGAAGTGTGGCCAGCAGGTCGAGGGAGGTGATTCTTCCCCTCTACTCCACTCTCGTGGGACCCCACCTGCAGTGCTGCATCCAGATCTGGGGCCTCCAGCATAAGAAAGGCATGGACCTGCTGGAGCAGGTCCAGAGGAGGGCCATGAAGATGATCAGGGGGCTGTAGCACCTCCCCTGTGAGGACAGTCTGAGAGAGTTGGGGTTGTTCAGCCTAGAGAAGAGAAGGCTCCGGGGGACCTTCTAGCGGCCTTCCAGTACTTAAAGGGGGCCTACAGGAAAGGTAGGGAGGGACTCTTTATCAGGGAGTACAATGGTAGGATGAGGGGTAATGGTGAGATTTAGATTTACATTAGATATTTAGGAAGAAATTCTTCACTGTGAGGGTGATGAGACACTGACACATGTTGCCCAGAGAAGCTGTGGCTCTCCCATCCCTGGCAGTGTTCAAGGCCACGTTGCATGGGGCTTTGAGCAGCCTGGTCTAGTGTAAAGTGTCCCTGCCTATGGCAGGGGGGTTGGACTAGATGGCCTTTAAAGGTCCTTTCCAACCCAAACTATTCTATGATTATGTGATTCTATGAAAAAAGGAGGAGACAGCAGTGAAGAAGAGATGGATGGCAGGCAGACTGACAGGCAGCCTGAATGATGGGCAGCCTTTCCTTGTGTCTACTTCTTTGGCCATGTTCTTTCCTGCAGTAATTTGACAAATTTGTCAGTTGTACAATGCTATACTCTTCCAAATCCATTGTGAAATCAGTAATTGGATCTACAATGGAAGAAGCAGCGTATGTTGTGTATAGCACATCAAGGCCAAAACTCTTATGTTAAGTACTATCTATACCATATCTACAGCCTTTTATGGAATTGGCTTTCAAGTCCATGCACAAGGAATCGCAGAACTAAGACTAAGCTGAAAAAAAGGTGGCAGGTTATGACCAAAATGTTATTTAGCTGTGAGAGTAGCAGTCTTCAAGTTCATCTAACATGGTGGAAGGCATTTGTAGCTTCTGACAGAATTTGTTTAGCCAGGAACATAGCAGAATCTTCAAGGCCCAGAAAGATTGTACTGATTCAATAACAAGTGGTGCTTTGCTGAAATAATGTTATGGTTATAGTTAGTTTCTTGAAGCGTTTTCCTCTCTTGACTTTACATTTCACTGACAGAATTCATTTTTTACCGATCATCCTTTCAGCAGCTATTTGTAGCTGTGCTTATGTTATGCAAAAGAAATTTAGAATCGACATCATATTTCTACCTTCAAATGTATGATATCCTCATGCTTCAGTTTTATTGTTTCTGAACTTGTCATAAGACATTTACTTTCACTTTTAATCTCAGTGATATACACTGCGCTGATCAAATGTCCCCTCTGAAATCAGTGGAGCTTCTGCCACTTTCCTCTGTGGGAGCAATGTTGATGTAATGATCAGTGTGTTTTTTCTGTTTATGCAGACATTTCCTAAAGCACACCAGAGTTCATTGCCATGAGAATGGATAGGGCAATTCTTTTTTTCTTTAACATGTACTGTTCTCTAACAGCAGCGTACAATGAGGAAGAGTGGGATTTTGGTGTCGAGGGCATAGCACTGCAGCTGTTGCTTGGATTGTTTCAGTACTAGTACTTCCTGAAAACTGCTTGTGGTATTAGGGAATAAGAATGATGATAAAATAGTACTATATTTTATATTGAAGGATCTACAGACTATGTTTGGGCAGGGGCAAGGACTACAAGTTGATGGTAATAGGATTTTAAAATACAGTTTCACATAGAATTATTCACATTGCCTTATGCTGTTAGAAGTCTTTGAAAAAGGTTATAAAAGAGTATTTGGAAGTGAAAGGAAATAGAATTTGATTGTCTCTATTAAAGGCTTTTGACTAAGTCTTTAACAAGAGTAATGGAAATAGGAAAATACAGAGCAAGTGCCCAATATTTTGTAACAGATGAAAGACTGATTTAGAGGAAAGGAATACAGTCATAGTGAATGGTTGTTCCTTTGGGAGTGGAAGAAGTTAAGTCTGAACTATCTTAAGGACTGGTGTAGGATCT